ATCAAGTGGTAGTATATTGGCTCCTCACTCTCGTCGCTCAACAAGTGTAGAGGCTTGGATATCGATGTATTAGCAGGAGGCCAGCGTGTGTCGCCGTACGGGCACTGGTTCTTCTCTTCTGCCGTCAAGGTCTTCTGACTTGCAGCGCCGCCGTTGCCTTCTCCGCCTGTACCAGATACTGAAGGCGCAAGTCGAGTTGGATCCATATGCTGTGGAGCCCGCGCAAGTGTAGGCGTAATCGCTGGCTCAGGCGCAGGTAATTATTGCCGTCGTAAACGGTCCTCGCGAAGTTGCAAGCTTGCTGTTAGGCAGGTTTCTTAGCTGCGCGATTCTTTCGCCCGTAGTTCTCAAGTGGAACTCCTTATGGTGTGTTCTGCTGGCTTTCAACGGTTTGTTTAGAAGAGCGGGCTGAGCGGCGCTGAGTGCTTCACGTTCGCTGTTACGCATGTCTTCACAGCTGCACGCCTGTCACGTCAGCGCGTATGCTACAATGAGAAATGGCATTTCACAGGTGTGAATTGCCGCACTATCTAGGAACGTAGACAGAGACGCCTTCGAGCAGCATGCTCCTGATCACACGATGCGGCTCCGCCCGAGCATCGAGACCTCGAACTATTCTCTGCGACGAGCACGCATGCAGCGTGATGCACATGCATATGGCGTGGCTGAAGCGCCTGGCCAATAGCACAGCTGTGCGACACACCAGGCAAAGCAGGCAAAAGCAGGCAAGCTGGGCAACTCGACCCAAACTCTCAGGTGCGTAGCTGCCTAGCAGCATTGCAGTCACATCGACACGTAAAGCTTCACGATTTGCCGACTTTTGAAGAACCCGCATATGTAATGCAGGACATACTTTGATGCCCACTTCGATGTGACGACCTGTATCTCCCCAGATTGGTTCAAGATGGGGTCATGAGGCTGAGGCCGCTCATATGGAAACGTATATAGTCGTGTCCTCAGCCTTCTCTTCTGCGCCTGATCCAGGAACAGCAGCGCAGGAGACCCATTACGACAACAGTCAGCCTACCGTCTGACTTCAAGAAGCACGACTTACACTGCGGGCATTGCGTGCCCATTGCGCCTGAGTTCATCACAGCTATTATCTGCCTCGATGGCGCCCTTTGGCCGCCGTCGACCAGCTGATGCAGCGTTAGAACAGGCGCGTAAAGCTCAGCGCAGACCTACCCTTCCATCGGCAAGCAGAGGCGAACGTATCCAAGACACATATACAGCATACGACGACTTTCCATGGGAGGAGATCGAAGAATTTCTCAGAGGCAAATGGCCTGACTGGGACTTCAAGCGGAAGAGGGTGCGTCGCGTCTTCATTTTACAGTATTCCAGCCTGATCGTTTGCGCAGTTCCACGACAAATGGGTCTTTGAAGTACCCGAAAAGTTGACGGATGTGAGTTCTCCTTGCTTTGGCCTCCTGTGTGTTTTGGAAGTGGCTGAGCAAATTTTAGGGCGATCGAAGGGAGCTGAGGAACAGGAGAGATGCGCCAAAGGCCACGAGACGACCTTCAGTTTCTCCGGAACCAGAAGAGGGGCAAGATTAAGCCTCATGGGTGCCGACGAGAACTATAGTTGTTGGCAATACACAGTTTTCGAGGTTGATTCTAGACTCTCATGCCATATTCCGTTTTGAGGTTCCCGGTGAGGACGTACATGGGCAGTGGCGGGATCGCTGACGCGCACGGGTCGCTAGCGCTTCGCACCTCCTGAAACCCACACAGCCGCTGCCAAATCAGCCAGTGTCAGCCTTTCGTGGCATTGTTCTATCCATGCGAATCCCATAAATATGTTCTATCTACTGCGTTCTTCCGCACTAAGCGGCAACTTTTCAATGTGTGCTAGTTCAAGCCTTCGAGATGACGTACCAAATACCTGTCGAGCTGCAAAAATCCTACCTCAAGAGCAGCAATTATCCAGAAAATCTCATCCCTACTGATCTTCTCTCAAACAAAGCGAAGCTGGTGTCTTACAAAAAGCGTCTCGATGGGGTTGGGACTGACTTCTGCCTTCTGGACAACCAGGTTGGCAGGCTCTTCGAAATACCAGTGATTGATATCGGCATAGCTGATAGAGATGGTGGGTAACATCAGTAGCCCGCTATACTATACGGAGCACTAATTCACTCAGTGCGCGTTAAGGAATACTTGCATTCACACTCCAAAGTCTTGGAATGGCTTGCTGTAGATGTTGTACGAGACTCCAACGAACCTAACGTACAGCATGTTGTCGCTCGAAAGAGAGACCCAAGATGCCGATTCATGTACGTTCTCTTGAACTTGAGATAGGGTCGATATGCTAACATTTTAGCTACTTCCATGGTGAACACTCGCGAGCGCAGTTGAAGACAACCCGAGAGAGCCTTTGTCACATTCTTTCCTATCATCAAGTCATGCCCGCATACTTGGACTTCATGCTGGTTTTCGGTGGGCAAAGTGACGCCAAAGACCCTCGCTTCAGTGGATTTCATGAGCAAGTACGTCTAAAAAACCCCAGCAATGTACACTCAGCACCCGAGTTGTGCCGAAGTGGTAAACACTACCAGCTTTGCTACAACTTGAAGAGTGTGCAACTCAAGAAGGAGAGTAACGAGGACATGAGACTTGATGAATGGTCAATCCGAGATGCTGCGATATACCACCGTTTTGACGTAGAATATGGGACCACCCTGTGGATTGTTACCAAGGGCGGCAAAGACTTACGCGACCGCTACGCAGAACTCACTAGGTCAGCTGGTCGACCAGGTCACAACATGTACACTGATACAACATCGTGTTTCGAGTTAACGCTTATGACACATCTGCTCTACTGTCAGTGGTCAACAGAGGACTGGAGATGGTACATCGTCTGGCTTGAAAGGGTGGTAGAGAAAGAGGTCAGTACGGCCTTCCGTACATATGTTCACGCTGACGTCAAATTCTACAGAGCGGAATGGCAGTCAACGGACCCCGTGGCCCTGGCTTTGCATATCAACAATACGAAGCATGGGATATTCAAGACCTGCAATATTGGCAAGACGAAACTAACAAAGCGGTAATGGTCTTAGAAGCAAATTCTAAGATCTTGAGAACTCTGCGCAAGTTTTACTCAAACCTGATGGAGCACAAAGATTTTCCTGACACGTTGAAAACATCGTGTGAAGACCAGTTATCCGACTTCTTTTCGCAGCTCGACGAGATCACTGCCGAGTTCGATATGCAAATAGCCAGAGCAAAGCTTCTGGTAAACATCATCAGCGACAGGAAGCAGCTGGTATTACAGCATCTGCAAACCCAAGTCTCGGATAGAACGGAACAGCTCAACAAGAATCTCGAAAGAGAGACTGTCGTCATGCGTATCATTACCATTTTGACCTTGATCTACCTTCCGGCTACATTTGTCTCAGTAGGTCCATGATCCTCTTTCAACCCCGGTCTCTAATACATACCAGACATTCTTCAGCACCGACATTATCAAGTTCCAGGACCAGAATCAGAACTCCGCGAACTACGAGAATGGCTCGTTCTCCAACCTCGCCCTAGAGAGATGGCTTCAGGTCACGATACCACTGACTGCTCTGACGCTCTTTGGTGCATGGTCTACATATCGCTTCTACAGCATATCGGCAAGGGATTTGACTGTTACCGAGCGTTTGAAGCGCGCAATGTTGTATACGGCACCTCCATCTTCAGAAGCAGACTCTTCTGCACAGATGCCACCAAACGATGGCTCTAATACCCCAAGCGTAACCATTGAGGGCCCAGCGAAGCGCTTGAGTGCATCGATCTCTCGCTTTGCTTCAACAGCACAGAACTTCGGGAAGAATCGTACTGTCCTTCCTCGATATGAAGGCAGTGAAGCCAAAGCTGGATGACGGTCGCCGAGGCGAAGCTCGAGGTAAGATCGCCAGTAGGAATTTCCACGTTTTCTTCCGTGGCAGCCCTCAACTTAAGCCTACGGATCATGAACGTGGGTCATTCATCATAGTTTGGCGCGTTATGTGTCAGACTGCAGTGTCATAAGCTGACATTCGGTTGCGGCGGGTATGTAGCCGCCGTCGAGGTACACACGGAAGGCGGGTCGGTGGGGCTTAGCGAACTGGCGTTCGCCGCTGCAACTGACTTTCATACAACACCAAGATCTTTCATTCTTCATCTCGCATCTACCATCGCGCAACTTCCAAGCCATCGCATATCGCAATGTGATCTTCGCTATTTACCGCTAGATGATCAAACGTACAGCCAATGCAATAATGTGCGAGCAGCTGAGCAGAAATTCAGCCTTGTTGCCTGAACATCAGCTCGCTGCAGCCACAATCGTCCTCCATGCACCTATTGGCGCAACCTCGACCTGGCCCTGTCGTCGGCTGCACAAGGCTGAGAACACTCGGCCATGGTTAATATGAGCCCCGCTCGCGCTACTGAGGCTCTGCCACCCTCATTTACTGCTTCTTGTCTCGTCTCGTCGCGTCGCGTCTCATCCCTTCCAGGCCTCACTGCGCGCATGCCTTGCGCAATCCACCTGAACCCTACTCCGAAGATTATTCGGCACGAAAGCGATACCCCCTAGCGGCATTCCAGTGTCGTGTCATGCATTTCCCCCACAAGGCCTTCGCAGCCTGATACTTGGTTGGAACCACGTCACAATGTCAGGCGCATACCCGCAACAGCCTACCTCTCTACCCATTAGAGAGGAATTCGAAGATTTGTTAGAGTCACAATGGACACGTCGAGTCGCGTGTCAGAACGAATGCGATCCAGATGAGTCTTGTAGCTGCCAGCGCAAAATCGTACACGTTCACGCCCTCCAAGCATGGTGGAAGAAACGAGTCTCCGAAAACGCCTATACAAAGCTAGAGCGTTTCTTACATGAATCGCCGGTCCCTTCTCACCTCAGCCTACCAGTGAAGCCAACGAGGATATCTAAGAGTGGACAATCCTGTTTTTGCACCCTCAGCCTGCTTCTCAGACAAGGGCGCGATCACCTTATCGACCGTTTCTGCGAAGCGAACATGTACGACGACTACCTTGCGCGTAGCGAGAACGATCAGATCCTTCGCAGACAGTTAGCAGATGTGGTACAGCATGGAGAAGTAGAGGCCATCATCGAAGACTTCCACAAAGAGAAATGGGAATACTGTCCCTTGAATTTGACATTGGATATGGCTGTCAACTTACAGGGAACCAAGGTTATTCTTCCATTCTGTTCGAAAATCAAACTTCCCAGTAAGGGAGGCACTGCGTCAGTATACTGGGTGGCGGTGCAAAAGGATCTCGTCTCGGATAACGCGCTCGCACTTGCCTTACAAGACTCACTCTATAAAGACGAAGAATTTGGAGAGGTCAGCTTCCTGAAAACTCACTAGCAGCGTAAGCTAACCCCCTCTAGTGCTATCAGATGGTGCTCAAATCCTACTGCGGCAACAAGAAGCGAGACTTCGAGCTAGAAAAGGAAGCATTCTCGGGTTTGCTGCAGTCGAGCGATGAAGTTCCCATATTGCAATACCTCGGCTCATATACCCATGACTATGGCGAGGGCGAGGGTATGGGAAAGACATACAATCTATTGTTGGAATACGGTGAGAACGATCTGTACCAAGCATGGGCAGATGAGACGAACGTTCCTCCCGTACAAGCCCAGGAGATACTCCAGACATGGAAGTCGCTTTTCAAAGTTGCTGAAGCCATTCGCCACGTTCATCATCTCGAGATTCTGCGAGGCAAAGGCCAACCAAGGAGATTTCATGGGTATGAACCTGTCGACATGTAAAGTGCCATAGCTGACTTGTATAAGCTGGCACGCAGATATCAAACCGGACAATATACTGAGCGTGCGCGGACGATTGAAGCTGGCTGACTTCGGCTTCTCCAGCTTTGCGCCTGTGGTAGATGGTCACGAGGGCTCTGTGCCAACAGAATTGATTCGAGGTTATTTTCCCCATGTACAAACCGCGTGTGAGACATACACTGACTTCATATATCGACGTTCTAGGTTTTACCGATACGTATGGTCGGTGCGCGTGGCAGCGAACGTATTGCCAGCATTGCTGACCCTCCATAGGTGCACCTGAAGTGTCCCGCATGAAGCAGCCGGATGGTACAATGTCTGGAGTCTCGCAGTCTATCGACGCCTGGTCATTTGGTTGTGTGTTATCGGTCGCCGCGACGTGGATAGTTTTGGGATTCCAAGGTCTTCGCCAATACGATCGACTTCGACAACTATCTCCAGCGAATAACAAGAACGGCCAGGAATTGGACCGGTTTCACGATGGGCTCCACGTTCTGCCAGAGATTGGAAAATGGCACGATTATCTTCGCGGACACCTCCGGCCATCAGATACAACGACAGAGATGGTTCTGGCTTTGGTAGAAAACAAGCTACTACGAGCAGAACCAGTGGCACGGCACACTCTGGAAGAGCTCTGCGAGAAGCTGCAAGAGTTGAGCGACTGGGCCGAACATAAGATCAAAGGTCTCAGGATACACTCGAGAGATACAGATCCCCTAGTCATGAGGGCCCTCTCGAGCATCGAAAAAGAAGCTCAGATCCAGAGAACCTCTGAACCGAAGACCGATTTCTTACAGCCGTCCTTCTTACAAATCAACCCTCGGGCGCGGGCCTCGATGCAAATAAAAAAGGAAGAGATGATCAGAAACAAACCGCTTGGTCAAACAGCGCATCGCAAGCAGATACTGGAGAAAAAACTGGAATCATGTGTGAACAAATATGCGGACGACGAGCCACCGCTTGTGGATGCTGCGCATAATGGTGCTATCACAGATAGCCCCACTGATGCGACTCTTGCAGAGGGACTACAGTATCGTGGTCGTCAGAGCAAGCCCAGGAATCCGCGGATCCAAGCACATGAGCAAGGCCAGGCAGAGACAGTCCCCCACACGCCGGATGGCGCGCGTTCGTTTTTGAATCGCAGCCATCCTACTACGCCACCACCATCATCTAATCGTCGTAACAATGCCATTGTTGTCACCGGATCTCATAGCGACGATCCCTTCACGACTCAATTACATGGCAATTCACTCGAGGTCCATCCATCTCCCAGTGCCAACTTGGCAAGACTTCACCTGCGGATTCCAGAAGCAGGCTCGCCATCCACGAATTATCCCATCAGTCTCAAGCAATCAAATGGCACATCGAGCTTGCTGTCTCCACCTGCAGAAAAAGGGTACGCGATGCAGAACTACGATCTCTTAGCCGAAAAAGAGACGTACGCAACACAGTCTCCTCCACTCACACCCACACCCATTCACATCGGCATCAAGCGTGACGTCGAAGACGGTAATGTGCCCCCAATTCACATCCCGGTGAACGACCAGAGTCACAAAGGAAAGGCCCCTGTCGTGGCTGATATAAGTCCTACGAACTCCCCGTTTGGCGACAAGCGCATACACGAGCTGAACGCCGGGACTGCCAGTTTAGTCGAGGCTACTGGAAGCTCTGGCCCCTCCATAACAGTATCGGAACCCGGAGACGCTCAGCCGCCAAAGCAGCAATCGGCATCATTGGATTCGATCACACATGCTCATTGGAAGCAAGCTCTTCTCACTCAGACTTCTTCGAAGTCTCACGATGACTCCCCACGGCCACTTCCACCCTCTGCTCTAGACCTACCCTATGATATATGCGTTACAAGGAAAGATACAGACCACCAGGTCTCAACGGGGATTGCAAAAGGTGTCGCAAAAGTGAAGGGCAAACTCGGCATCGAAACCAGAGCGCCAGCTGCTAGCCTCGTAGAAACCTTTAGCGACCCGCGTGAAATTGTGAGCTCACTCCAGAAACCTTCATGCTGGGCTAATGTATTCCAGATCTTCGTTGTCGATAATGGGTGGACGATGTCCAGGCACTGGCCGATCGTAACGTTCGTAGCGCAAACGCTCGCCATGAACGCCGCTGGCCTAGACAAGGATGGGTTCGACGTTAAGTTCACGGTTGATGGCCACACCCATAATGAGCGGCGTCTGAAAGGAGATTTTGGTCGGAGAAAGCTCAAGAAAGCGTTGAAGGCAGCGTGGCCAGAACAAAAACCGAACAATAGTGCCACCACAGACATGGCGAAGGTTTTCAGAAACATCCTGAAAGAATGGGACCGCGTCGGCCAGCCAGCCACAACACTTCTCGTGTTAACTGACGGGGTCTGGTCAAAGGAAAACTCCGATACCTTCAACAAGATCATCCTCGATATCGCGCGACTGGACCAAGGAAATGGCGGCAATCGGCACTTCAGCATCCAGTTCATTCGATTCGGCGATGAAGTTCCCGAAAAGGGTCGCCTAGAGTGGTTAGACGACCACTTATGCGCCGACAACAACATGAGGGACATCATCGATCACTGCTCGTGGCGAAACAACGTCGTTAAAATGGTCACAGGTAGCATCGAGGTTTATGCCGACGAACAGAACTCTGTTGACCAACCCATGTTGTACGACTACGATGGTCTTGTTGGTCTATTCAACGCCTTCAACAAAGGAGGCGACGCCCTGCTTTCACCAACCGGTACCCCATCTCGGACGCCCTCACGAGCATCGAAACGCTTGTCAATCTCCAATTCATTCACAGAGGACTGGACTAAAAGAGGTTGATCAGCGGGATGTTTCATGGGAGTCGAATGTGTTTTCCTGCTCAACACGCGTGTGATACATCGGCATACCCTCATTCAACGATGCCTTCCGACATTTCAACACGCGCTACGATACCCACGCCTATACACTATCCATTGTACATACTCTTTCTTACTTTCTGGAACTTGGCAGATCGCTGTTGGAGCACTATACCCATGGAATCGGCGTTTAGAATTTAATTTGGCGTATAATCGCATGGCGAGCACAGCATAACATCATGCTCATCTTGAGAGGGGATGAAAGTGTCTGGATGCCTATCTAGACCACGCGTCTACGTATCATACGTACTTCTGGAAGAACGTTACGTGACTAGGTGACATGTAATACATTCTGTTTGCTTTCTGAAGGGAAAGACGTGGTCAAACCTCTTCTTCCGTCGGCGTTCTGAGGAGCAGGTTCATGCTTAACATTATCTCACCGACCAGCGAGTGTAAGGCCGGATTTGAGCGGGAGCCGCCTCATAACACAATGATGCAAAAGTAGAATGGGCCAACAAAAGCTTGGAATTTGAGGTCGAATTTGGTTATATACAAAGGGGCATACAATACAACTCAGTGATCGATAATACAGTGGTTGCGACACATCATCGAGCGAAAACCTCAGTGATGTACATATCTAAACCCAATCCTCTTCCTCAGCGCCGCACGCTCCGACAGCTGCTCTGCAACAAAGCGAACACTGGGCTTCTCGATCTTCCTAGCGCCCTCCCTCAAATATCTGCTATGTCTCGAAGCCGTGCGAACAGGGTCTGGGGTATACGGTGTCGCATCGAACCTGCGAACCAGCGGTATAGGCTTGACGTGAATCTCCTTCGGGGCACGCCGGCGAGCGCGTCGTATGATTTCCCTCGAACGTATCGATATCGTCGGTTTCACTGGCTTGTACGAGTCGACGACGCGAGCAGACGGTGCTTTGCTGGGAGGGAGGGAAATGAAGTTGTAGGCCGTGGTGTTGGAGGCGCGCTTGCGACGGGACGCTCGGCTTGTTGTTTGTGCGGTAGGTGGGTTTACTTCTCTAGATGATGGTTGAGAGGTAGTTTTACTGGGAGTGGAGTTGTTTGGAGTCTCACCTTGGGGCTGAGATACAGGCTCAGAACCCGTCGAGGACTCAGGAGTCGTGGTAGGCTCTTGCGCTTTTGGTGTCTTCTTGGCGGCAGCATTGAGTGCTGTAATGTCTGGCCTCCTAGAGCCGGGTCCCAGCGGTTTCGGCTTGGTATTCTTTACTGTGGTGTAAACAGTGCCCTTGACGGCGACACCTCCAGTCGGCCCCTCAATCCATACATCGTATATACTGCCATGTTGCAATTTCTTCTTCTCCAAGCCGCATATGCGCATTTCCTCGTCGCAGTACAGCGGCGCTAGATTGCGATATTCGATCGACTCCAGATCATGCTTTCCCCCGGTCTGTGCATACACGTAATGGCTTATGGTTTTCAACATGAGGAGCAGGGAAAGAGGACCGTGAACTAGCAGGTTGCGGTGGCCTTCGACGTTACGAGCGTACTCGGGATCGAGGTGTATGCGATGGGCGTTGAAGGTAAGAGCAGAGAAGCGGAAAAGAAGGGCGCGATCGGGAGTGAGGGCGTGTGAGAAGTCTGGCTTCCCAGGGGCTACATAGAGTCAGCAGATAGTCGAGAGGGTTGTCAGAGTACGCACGCTGCAGATACTTCACGGTGGCCATCTGCCCAGCCTTGACTGCCTCCAATTCGGCAGCGGGGCGCTCCTTGAAAAAGACCAGGTTACGCTCCTCCTTCACGATGGCGTCGCCCCAATCGTCACCGTCTCGCAACTGCTGCTCGAGATAAGTCTTTAGTTTTTTGCCTCCATTCTTTCCCAGTTTGCCATGCTTCGCGTTGTACGCTCTCCCTACGACGTCCACCCGTGCAAAACGCCGCTCGATCGTGACAAAGATCTTGGCAGTGTCGCCTTCTCCGTGCAGTCGGACATGCTTTATGTGCTCCGTCCCAGACATTGGAAAGTCGACTCTAAAGCCGCGGTTACGGTCGTAATACTCGTCGGGTCGTACTTGTATCGAGCCGCCAGCCCACATACGCCGCACCCACGGCCCGCCCGGGCTTTGCGACGCGTCTGTTCCATCTGGGAGTAATTCGGTTGTCCGCACCGCGGGATTGAACCATATCAAGTGATGGCCAAACGGCACCATGCGACTACGCACACCGGGGGCATAGCACCATTCTTGGGGTAGGAAACCCGTGATGCTTTGCGATAGCTTGAATTCGTGCGGAGTGGCGATGAACTCAGGAAGGTGTATGGCGTCTCGCTGCAACATTTCGGTGCGCAGCTCTTGGAACCATGGCGGATCCTCCGAATTGGCTGAAGAATAGCATCGCAGCGGTGTTCTTCGCCATTGCGTGCGATTGACGTTGTCCCAGGCAATCCGACGTGCGCGAGGGGTCCGGAGCAGCATTGGGAAGAAGGTCTGCGGACATCGCAAGACCCGCCGCAGATGCTATCCTTGAAGTCTTGGCGGCTTGATGACGTAGGCGACTTGACCGTTTGAATGCCCATCACTTGTGCGTAGCGTGACACTTCACCTATAACAACCATTGCTTACCTCCGACATGTGCCAGTCTTCAGATACTATGCGCTTGGAAAGCTGTGAAGATACAGCAGCCATGCCAATCCAATCGCCAATGTCATACCCGGCTGACCGCCTCGCTGCGACCCACTTGTTAGCCACACCCATAATCTTCACACCAATATACCATGGACGTAGCTTGCATTGAACTCGCATCCTAAGTTCAAGCTTGCAACTGATATCGCGTCACGCGTCTTGGCGTGTTTGTTTGTGTTCCTCATTCGGCTATCCACCAGCGTCGCACCTTCTTCACGTCCACCCCGGCTTCATCTTCACCGCCAACGCCATCGTTTCCTTGCAAACAACGCCTTTACCTCATAAGCGAGCCTCCAGTATGTGTGCAGTTTACCAAACTCGTGGGTTGCTGCTTCGTCTGCGTCTGAACCGCGTTCGTCATGCTAAGCCACGGAAGCCCACAGCGACTGCCACAACATAGTCAGCCGTATACGCACGAGGTGACGGTTTCAATACACGTGAACAACGAGTCACCCCAAATTGTCACTCACCACACATCCCTGGGACAGGAAAGTGCTGGACGCCTTCACACGCAGGATATCACCTGCACAGCGATGACGAGCAAGATGGAGCTTCTGGAGTGTCCCATGTGTGACTTCACCGTGCTTCAGAAAGATGACTACATTCTCCAACTACACTTTGAGCAAGTGCATACTGAGAACTCTCCTTTCGTGATAGAAGACGACCCAGAACCGTTACCACCTTCCTTGCCCCTCAGGCCTTCCTCACTCCGCCACGACACTGAGGATACACCTTCCTCCGACGACTCGGAAGACGAGGAAAGCACTACAGTGTGCCCTGACCCCAACTGCGGTGAAGTCGTTCCTCTCTCCGACTTCAACGACCATCTCGAATACCACAACGCAGAAACTTTATCATTTGACGAGACTACAGGAAAGTATCATTCTCATCATTCATCCGCTACTATGCAAGGCTCGACCTCATCTCGTCGTTCCCATGCGAGTCAGGCAAGGACCACAACATCCGAGCGAAGTTTCAGCACAGACTTGTCAGATGCTTTGAAGAGGACTGATGCTCACGGCCGCAAATCGAAGAAGCACCCACATCGGCATCGGCGCGACACCGATGAGAGCGAGAAGAGTACCATTGGAAGGAGTATTCTAGGCTTCAATCCTTTTGCGAAACCCGACAAGTCCGTCAAGCCACCGATCAAAAGTGCTCGGCTAGGTGTAAGTTGATCGTCCTTTTGGCAGGGCCTAGCTAATCTCCGCAGAAATCCGAACTGGGACCCTACGCTTGGGAGAATCGAATGCCTAGGTGGCTGCACGATCAGCTGGATGCCGGCCCCAAGATCACTGCCGTCAACCGCATCGGCCGAGATGGCCGCCTCATCAAGCATGATCAGGTGCAGAACGAGACGCCAGGCATCATTCCCATCCTTGCGCAACTATCTGCTCTTGATCGGACCGTGAAGGAAGCATATTACTGTCATCCATCGACACTCCACGTCGGTAAAACCCCAAGCGAAGGCGGCTTTTGCGGTTACCGGAACATACAAATGCTGCTGTCCTACATCCAAGGCGCCAAGGCTCAAGGCTACGAAGAATTCCCAGGACGGCTGCCGACTATTCTGAAGATGCAAGATCACATTGAAGATGCTTGGGATAAAGGCATCAACTCAATCGGCCGTGTCCAGACTGGTGGTATACGTGATACCAGAAAGTACATCGGCACACCAGAGGTAACATCATACCCACCTTCAACTGTTCTCTGCTAATATGTAGCAGGCTCAAGCCTTTTTCCTCAACTCAGAAATCAACTGCGCTGTCGAGCAGTTCAGCGACAATAAAGATCGCGCCATTGCGGCCCACGAGCTTCTCCTCGCTGCCATGGAACGATATTTTGCGCGAGCGGCTGCCATCGACGGATCCAATGTCTCCAAGACTCTTCTACCGCCTATCTACCTTCAGCAACCAGGACATTCAATCAGCATTGTCGGTTTTGAGCGCCGCTTTGACGGCTCCTGCAATCTGATCGTCTTCGATCCCATGTATCTCACGAGTCCTGCGATGCATAAGCTGCTTGGTCGGAAGAACATCAGGACAGCTCGACCTGAGGTTCTGTACGCATATCGTCGCGGAGCTGGGAAGCTTAAGAAATACGCTGCTTACGAGATTCTGATGTATGTTCATTAGTCGATAAGCGTTTGTCGCATGCTGACTTGGCTCAGGCTCACCGCATCACCGCCTTTGTTTCCCGCTTGGGATGTATGAGCATCCATCCCCAAGCCTGACCCTTGCATATGATAGCACAGTCTGTTTCTATGATATCTGCTGAACGTTTTTCCTCTAGGTACTTCGTCAATTCCCCGAGTGCCGCTTCGTGTA